TAAACATTCAAAAGAGACTGAACCTTAAACAAAGAAACAGGACTGCGATACCATCATTGAAGTTCACAGCGGGAATCGGATCAAAATAGGAAAATCGATTAGTCTCATCCAAAGCACTGGTGGAAGCTGGCCCCGATATTGGTGCTGCCATATCCATAGGCCCGAATGACATGCTGAATGAGTGCCTGTTAGTACCAGATGGATTTCTCGGAGGTAGTGGTTGGTACCACCCTGCTCCGGAACTAACAGACCTAGTTGAGGCCATTGCTGGACGGACATCTCGTGCTGACGAGCCAGGCATGATTGCAGTTTGTCCAAGATTCAACATAGAAGATCGATCCGGACCTTATGTGGCTTTTGGTTAGCCTTAGGAAATAATTACTCATTGAAGAAGTTGACAAGTTTAAAGCATGTCAAAATCACATAGATCCAGGCGATATTTGAACAAACAACTGTTTCTCAGTGTCCTTGACATATGCTTCCGTGTCTGGAATTGCTTGATGGCGCCAACTTTGACAGCCGAGGAATTTACAGACACCTTGGCCCTTCCCTCCCAAAAAGTCCATGAATACGCGTAGAGGCTCAATTTCAAAATTTCGACTGCAAATCTGAGAAAATGCAATGTGCATACGTACTCGAGCTATCATCGTCCCTCAACTGTGCCAGACTTTCACTCAGTTGTCTTACTTCTCGCTCTAATTCCTCATTGCGCCTCCGCACCTCTTCGAGCTCTACACCAGGTTCACGACCGCAGGTAAGCTCTTCAATACGGGCCTCCAATCTCTCAATATGCTCCTACATTTCTAGTCAACAAACCAATTCAATGAGTTTTGAATGTGAAACCTGGTCAAGTATCTCAACCTGAGGTTGAAATGGACCATGAAGTAGTTTGCCGCACCTTAGTTCTCAATCTAATGTTCCGCTGCGCTTCACGATCATTGGCTCTTTTCCTTGCTAGCCTGATAGAAATTGATTAACAACTTTCAATGAAAGAATAAAGATAGTATGCTGGATCCTGCTCGAAAGCATCACATCAAGCAACTATCATGAAATTCTGTACGTACTGGGCAGGGCTCAAAGTCGATACACTGCGAGTTCCAGCCCGGGATACTACGAAAGTTAGTTTGAATCTTGAATTGAACAGATGGCTAAGACATCGGTTCTTGTAAATTTGCCTGACTCGTTCGTACCTCGTTTCTTTTCACCGGCTTTCTTGCCGGTTGCATTCATCGAATCTGAATGGTTCATTCCATCCACATCGGACCCTAATGGTTCGTTGGAGCCATGGATTGGTTGGGACATGATTGGAGACTTTGAAGATGGTTGCAAGAGTAGATTATAACACAGATCAGATATTCCCCTGGATTTCCTCGTGACCCATGGATCGTATCGTTTGGGGTACGTGCGTCGTTTTAGAATCAAATTCCGGCAACGTGAAAGCTGGCTGCAGATGTATTTTTCAACGTACGAAATCTCGATTGGAATGGTAGGAAAAAGATAGAACAATTCCTAAGAAGCTCAACTTTCACGGAATGTAGATGGTTGTAGATTTGGCTTTCGGTAGTTCGGGGATCTGAAAATCACCTACTCGGAAACGTCGTTCGAGCTTGCTTGTGAAGTTACTTTAAACTCTTCGGTCCAGCAGAGGATAATAAGACTTGAGGGGGTAGACTGCGGATATGGAAGTCGCGCCGATTCCAAGCAAGATGAATCAGTATATGAAATGATGCATATAAGATGAATTGTAAGATAGAAGATTAAAGAAAGTTTGGGCGGTCCGTAGTTACTCTACTGTAAGTACCCAAGTAGTGAGCTAGTGCCAAGATGCATGAGTTTTGGCTCCAAACTACTTTGACTAGTAGTGCAAGTAATTATGGCGTGGCGCAGACGGATTGTGAGCTTGTGAGGAAGCTTGAGGGGTTTTGAAGAAATTCGAACGAGATCGAATTTGAAAATTAAAGTATAATTAACTCAGCCTTGGAAGACGGTACTAGATACCTAGCACACATTCAGAATCCGAAAGCGAGGCTATCTACATTAGAGTATTTCCATTTGGAGGATACTCCTAGGAATCTAGGTGGACGACGGAGGTAGGTTTGAATGGTGGGTGGAAGGTGATGTGTACGGTGGTAGAGTTTTACCAATGAAATTCCGAGAATAACATCTCGTATGAGCGAGGTTAATGAACTCAATCGAACTTGACTTGGATGTATGGGGAAAAAAAGGTTCGATTATAGATTTCTAAAACTAATAGGTTAGAGGAGGGTTCATGCCGTCCCTTCTGTGCATCGTATATACACACGTACTATGTACCTCGTCCGTATATATTCTCCTTCATTGATTAGCTCGACATTCCGCACATAAATCGTGCCGGCTTATAACTTTACCGGGACTCAAGCCCTCAAATTGGATTAGATATTCCAATACTAATAATGCAGCAGTCCTAAGGTCCCCTAGTGTTGGAATAATCCAGTAACTCTTCTAGCGGTGACTATGACAGTATAGTTAAATCAAATTGTTGAAGAATTTACTACAAATGCATGGATTTCGATACCTAGCAGTCTCGTGAACAAAATATCGATGTTATTAGGTAGGTAGGTAGGATTCGGTATCTCCTGCTCACGTGTATCATAAACTGTACTCGGGTATCCGTTTCTGTAGTCAGCAAATGGCAACGATGCTAATAGCCAAGGACTGATGGATCGCAGTCTCGACAACTACAACAGCCAACTCTTGAGGCTTCCTGGGACTCTTTGAGGATCCAGATTTCAAAAGTCCTTCAGATTCAACGAATTTCACAAATGGATCAAAATTTATTAACTGAAATCAAAGATCGGCAATGCCGAATCCGTGCGTTATCACACGTGGGCGTTGGGGCCAATTCGATCTTCCGCGGCGTTACTGGGAAGTTCCCGGAATATTGATAGCAACATCTTATCGCCCTCACTAAAACCTGCAATCAAAGTGATAGAAGGAATAAGTGAATTGAGGAGGAAGTCTTTGCGTGAGATTAGCTACTTAAGTGGAGCATGAGATCCTCCCTCGTAATACCTCTTTTAGACAATTCGACTACCTTTACCCACATAAAAACAGCCCGTCTTCCGTGATATGCAGTGTAAAGAGTCAAAAGGGGTTGGATCATGGATGTCGTTAGTCCCTATGGTGTGTATAACATGGATCTGAATAGATTCTCTTGGTACCTAGCTAAGTAAATCCAGAAGGACATATCGAAATAATGTCGATAATAGGCATGGCTTTCAAGGTGTGGTGGCTTATGCAATTTCGGGATTGTCCTCCTTCACTGCCTCGACTAATTCTTCCATACCTCCAACTTCGGTTGGTCCATCCATACCATCAGGGGGTAAAGCCCAGGCTGGGAGAGGACTCACATAACTCCAAGAGCCTCCAGCATCTTCATAACGAAGACTGTGAAGCCATAGAGATAACTCCTGTTCACCAGGGTCGGTATATAATGGGGTCTGGCATACTTCACATAGCTCTCCGGACATCTTCTCGGCTTTCTTCTTATTGTATTCGTCTACCATTTCATCATGGTAGGCTACAGCATCAGCAACTTCTGACTTGCCCATCCTCGAAAGACGAGTAATGATGTCTTCATCCGTATCCTGAGTTGCGTCCGAGTCATTTGCTCCAAGCCTTGTTCCCCATACACGTTGATTGCAATATATAGGATCGTTGCCGATAGGATGGCCTAGAAACTGTAGATGAACCCTGAGCTGATGCGTACGACCAGTGACTGGAAGGCATCTAACGATCGAGTAGCCTTCCTTTGTTATTGATGGTCTCGACTGATCTAGCTCTGTCTGTTCGGAGCTGTCTTCAGTTTGTTCTGGAGGATAATATGCAAGGCGCTTGAAAACCGTGCGGGCAGCTTTACCATTTGCCCTCACACGGTTCAACCCCAATTTTGGTGATATTTGCAGAATTGGCATATCACACACAACCTCTCCGTCTGGAAACTTTCCTTTCACTCGTGCTATGTATTCTTTTCTGACAGTGCGTCCTGATATTTGTAAACTTAGTGCTTCTGCGGCCTTGGCGTGTTTTCCAATGAACATGATACCACTGGTCAGTCTATCCAATCTATTACACGGTAGTGGGTTCCAGCCATGGCCGCGCTCAGCCCTCATAATTTCAACCACGGAATTGTAATTATATCGACCAGCTGGGTGGACGGGGACGCCGGAAGGTTTGTTGATGACAATGATATCTTCATCTTCATGTACGACCGATATTGGCAGAGCTGTAACGGGAGGTTCATGTCGATGTAAAGTATGTGATATAACATCTCCATTCTTGATGATTTGTGAAGTTGACTCGACAGGTTTTCCATTCACAGCGATAGCTCCGCGCTCCATAGCATCTTTCTACGCCTGTCAGTAAGACTTCTTATTATTTCGAACCATGCCGAACGTACGTAGTATTCTAACGGCCTATCTCGAAATTCGCTTGAAAATATATCCAATATTTCTCTTCCTCTCCATCTTTGTTTGCAGTATGTATTGTAGGTGAAATGGTACGGCGCGACTCTGCGTAACCCATTATCTAAATAATATGGTCGCGGCCATGGATCGGAAGGTGTAATCACAACTGCGGGGGGTTCTTCAAACGGTTTCTTCTCTTCCACGGGAGGATACCCAACTGAAGTTTCAACGAGCGCCATAGTAGGATTCATTCTTCCAGCCCTGCGGGCCAAAAGCGCAATAATTCGAGGTGAAGGAGCCACTTGATCGGATTGAAGTTCAATGTGCGAGATAACGCAAACAACTGGTGAACGATTTATCGAAATTATGATGCGCAAGTCCAGATCAATTTAGAAAATTATGTTCTGCCCAAGGCGGTGTGTAGCGTTAATCGTCAATTTAATGATTGCAGTACCTGGGTATGTATGGTGGCTCGAGGGTGGTTGGTACTCATCAACTTAGACATCCTGTTCCTGTTGACATACATGGTGCCCCGGGACTTGAACCTTTCAAATCAAAGTTGAGAACATCCATTTCGGCGCACCATATGAACTTACATTGAGAATCCTTTGCTATTTAATACCCATTGTTTCCAATAGCATTATAGTTTGTCTTGGAGTCGTCTAGGTTACTAGAATATTCAGAAATACCTCGGCTGAAAGCAAACCTCTTAATCGTGGTTCTCCTTTTCAAACTCCGTCCCTTCCAAACCTCTCACCTCTCATGTGTTCTCTTTAACATCCTGTATCTTGAGAAAAGAAAAACGAAGTACTATTCAATATGTCACATGAAGAGCTTAAGAGAAGGAGGCGAGAGGATTATGGCTACGTTTTGGAATATAGAACACGTTGGTATGGTTTCTTCACGTCTTTACGTCTTCACGTCTTCACGTCTTAACACAGATCGCAATGAGCTGACACAAGATTTGGAGGTCTGATAATGATATGTATGACCATATGAATAATAGCATTTACAACTTCCTGTAAGTCCCATCGAGAACATTGGACATACTCTATGGCTAAGACTAGAGAAAGGTACGATTCAATCGTAAACTCATATCTTATCGAACATTGTGGTCTGCATCCACCCACCTCATCTCAATACGGCCTAGTTGTGCACTCCCATGGTGATTTCTTTGGTTCAATCGCATTTCCAGCTGTCGCTGATCTAGCTTTACGTGTCAACAAGCTTGGGAACAGCAGTGTTACTTACGAAATCGGGTTATTCGAGAGGGGAGTTGAAGAAGTCAAGTCAGTGGGTGAAATCATTCACGTGTTTGTTGAAAGAGAGACTGGCCGACCAGCAACGCGAGGTATGAACGACACAATCAAACAAGGACTCAAGAAGATCCTCCAACCACAGCCAAAACTTTAACAATCTCAACAAATGCTCTGGTCTTACGTCAATCCACTCATCCAATTAGCCTCGTAGACCAGGCTACCAAGATGTGCCAAGATAAACCGTTCTACAGATCACAACGCGAAATTCTCGATACAAGAAAAGAAGCATTTCACTACACTCCCGTCGCCAACACTTAAGTGTCCCGATGTATTGGGAATACTAAAACGGAAATTTCGCTGTTTGCATAAACTCCGAACCAATGAAAGTAGAATCTGTCGATTAGCATCAATTCGGGGAAACCTCGCATGTATGATAATATCCATATGTATATACTAGTCCGTATTGTCTCGGGATAGATACACGCGTTACTACTTCAATTTATCATCATGATATGTTGGCTGAGAGGCTGACATGTCTCAATTTATCAAAGTTACCTATTGAGAGTTTCTTGGAGCGGGACAAAACGGTAGACGAACTCACCGCACTTTCCACTTTTCCACTCTTGGTAATGAGGGGGAATTATTTGAGAGAAGATCAAAGATCAAGAATCGTGCAAAAGAGAGTTCAAGTTGGTAATAGAGAATCCGGTTAAATTGCGGAGTTCTCGGCTAACTTCCCCAGCAAGATCAACAACCCCCGCATTCTCGTCGGCACTGCTATCCCATGTTACTGATCGCTCCTTTGCCCTTCCTCCCCCGCAGAGTTCGCCCGTCGAATAGCAAGTGAGGCCATATGACAGGCGCTAATAAGCAAGCGATACTACCAAAGCAGGCATAATGACTGGATGCACAGATTTTAGATGTTGATGATCATGATACCTTCTGACCTGTCATGCATCATTCACTTCTTTGCCCCAATGAAAATATGCTAATGATTAAAAGGCGTTCTCTCTATCTAGATGGCATTCCATCAAGCTTTTCTCAAATCTGGATGTTTTTGTCTGTGATATCAAACTCTAACTTGGCTTCTCTTGTTTTGGACATTTACCACCAGATCTCGACTTTGTGGTACAATTAATACCTCACACCAGCATTAGTGTAGGTAACACAACCACAGACCCGATATCAGAAAAAGTCTTCGAGTCAGCTACAGCAGAGATACAACAATAAAGCGACTCAAGTAACGAGACTATGGCGTCAACTGTCAAGGCACAGTCGGATTATGTAGAAGATGTCGATAAGGATGATTCGACGACATCAGCTGCGGTGATAGATCCCGGTCTTCGAGCTCTTGAACCGCCAGAATGGATCGCAGCCTTGTCTCCTGAAGAACGCCTCAGTATTGAAGCCAAACTCAAAAGGAAAATCGATCTGAGATTGTTACCTATGGTCATTCTGATGTATATCATGAATTATCTAGATAGGGTGCATTAATTACTCTAATAACCATTTATGTTGGATGATTACTGAATCATGGTAGAATAATATTGCAGCAGCACGATTAGCAGGAATGGAGGAAGATTTGAATTTAGTGGGAGATCAATATCAGGTAAGCAATAAAGTGTTCATGGGTGATAAAAGCTAACATTCATAGACTTGTGTCAGTATCCTATTCGTGGGATACCTCCTAATGCAAATTCCCTCCAATTTATTCTTGAATAAAATAGGCAAACCAGCATTATATCTTCCCGGAGCAATGATGATCTGGGGTGTGATATCAGGTGCAACAGCTGGTACCCAAAATTTTGCGGGTCTTCTTGTTTGTAGATTCTTCCTCGGTTTCATAGAGGCTGCTTATTTTGTAAGTCTTGATGCATGTGGCGATTTGATACATGATAAGTCCTAACAATACACAGCCCGGCTGTCTCTACTACCTCTCATGTTGGTATACCCGCAAGGAATTAGGTTTGCGCACTGCACTCCTTTATTCCGGATCCCTCATTAGCGGAGCCTTCTCGGGTCTCATCGCTGCAGGTATCACGGGTGGTATGGATGGAGTCCATGGTCTTCTAGCCTGGAGATGGCTTTTCATTATCGAAGGTGCAATCACCGTCGTTATTGCCGCTACTGCCTACTTTATCCTACCCAATTTTCCTCGCACCACGGCTTGGTTGACAGACCGGGAACGAGAATTGGCTGTTTGGCGTTTGGAAGAGGATGTGGGCATGGACGATTGGGTGGACAGCCATCAGCAAACTTTCAGGCACGGCTTGAAACTCGCATTTACAGATATCAAAACTTATATCCTGGTGATAATCTTGTTTGGTATTGTTTCGGCTGCATCCGTTACCAATTTCTTCCCGTAAGATTCCCCATGTCCAGCACAATCCGAGAAAATCAAAGTCTAACACATCCCAGAACCGTCGTCGCAACTTTAAAATATGGCCGTATTCAATCTCTCCTTCTCACCGCACCTCCTTACGTCCTCGCTCTCTTCACCTCCATGTTCAACGCGTGGCACGCCGATAAAACGGGTGAACGCTTCCTCCACGTTGTCATTCCGCTCTGTTTCGCCTTTGTAGCATTCATCCTCGCCGCCGCAACCACAAGTATTGCACCCCGGTACCTCGCCATGATGCTGATGGTTCCCGGCTGCTACACCGGTTTCGTGGTCGCCCTCGCATGGATCTCCAACACGCTGCCCCGTCCCCCGGCTAAGAGAGCAGTGGCCCTCGCATTCATCAATGCCGTCAGCAATGCGAGTAGCATCTACTCAAGTTATATGTATCCCAGTAGTGCGGGCCCGCGATACGTCGTGGCGATGAGTGTTAATTGCGGAATGATCTTTATGGCGATGTGTGCGGCGTTGGTGTTGCGCACGATGCTGGTCAGGTTGAATAAGAAGTTGGATAGGGGAGAGGTGGTGGATGGTGCGGTTAATGAGGGCACCGTGGCGGCGGGTCAGAGGGGTTTTAGGTACAAGGTATAAGGTATAAGGTATAGGATTTAAGAATAGAAGTGCATTCATAGAATGGGATACGGCGAGAGGTAACCTTGGTCTTAACCTTGGTCTTAACCTCAACCTCAACCTTCAAACTCGAATTTCGACAAAGGATTTAGAGACAGCGATTCTCTATCAAGACAGATATGTTTCAGGATAGGATAGGATAGGATACGATAGGATAATCTCAGTGCGATTCGCACAGCAAATCTGGATATCATATCATAATGCATTCAAATAGATGAGATAGACAAATAGACATCAATTCTTCAACAAAACAAAACAAAACAGCTCATCCTTTTCCCTTTCATCTCTTGGGAATAAGTATATTTCTTTTTGCGGTGCTGATCCCCGACTCTTACACTCAAAATAAAAATAAAATTCTGTTTAACTTAACTTGACTTCCCTCACCTCGCCTCGCCTCGCCTCGCTTCATCTCGTCTTCTCTTTCTGTTCGATTGTCAAATAATCTTCATTTTCATTTTCATTTTCATTTTCATTACCAATCTATCTATTTACTTATCATCTATCATCCATAATCCATCTAACCCTTCTCATAATTCATCACGAATTACAAATTATCTAACTTCAAGACAACAAATAAATAAATGAATAAATAAATAATCCCATAATCACCTCCTCTCACCCCCCCCTCCCCATCCCCCTCCCCACCCTAACCTAAAACCCCTCCTCCCCCAAAAACTCATTCATAACCCTATACGCCTCCCCCGCCACAAAATGCACATTAACCGCATGACCACAACCCTCGAGCACACGAGTCTTAAACGCCCTACTCTTCGGAAACGACTGCTGCACCGCACTCAAGACATTTCCACCCCCCGCCATACAATTCCCCCCACAAAAAATGGCATCTTCATTTCCCGCCAGCACGAGCACCGGTCCCTCAAACTCCGGCGCCGAAGCCGGTTGCGCCGCCAACGTGAGGAGTTCTCCCGTCGTAAAGGGCTCCTTGTGTTTCTCTGTATATTCTGCGATGTCCGGATCGTAGTAGGGAGGCGCGAGGAAATTGAATTGGTTCGCGCCGAGATTCGCCCAGGTGAGATAGCCATCGGCGAGATCTTGGGCGTAGATGTTCCCGGTATCTTTGTTTGAGCCGGCGGTGTAGAAATAGCCTATTTTGCTAAAGGTGTTTGCCAGTTGCGAGATTGCGGAACCGAAGAGAGAGACGATGGAAGGGGCGCCGAATTTGTATGGTTGGTTCACGGATGCGGATTGGATGTTGAATCCTGCAATTGTCTGGGGGAGGGCAGAACCGTCAAGGGAGAATCCTTGGAGAATAAGTCCATCTGTGATATTTGGGTATGCTGAAGCGAGTTCATATGATAAGATGGAACCAAAAGAATGACCGACGTGGACAATCTTGTTTGGTTCTGAGATCTCGACGCCTGGCAAGTTGCCTGCACGTAGTAATTTCGTCACTTCTACAATTGCTGAAAGCTCGGCAGGTGCTTGAATGACTGATGTTGGGTCAGCTTTTGAGGATTCACCTATTCCAAGTCGATCAATAGCTAAAGTGCTATAGCCATACTGATCAACAGCAACATCCACGTATGAATAGTTGTAGTTGTTGAATGGCAAATCCCAATACCTATATCCAAAATCAGTAGGTACATTTGAAAGTGTAGCATTGTACTCACGATCTGTCGAATCCAATTCCGTGAGTAAGAAACTGCCATGAATCAGAGTTGCTACTTGACTCGCTTGGTACACAAACAGTCGCAGCAATATTGTATTGGTCAGTTACCGTGGTGAATCCTGATAATGTAGATGCACTGTAATTTTGCCCAGCTCTTAGGAAATCTTGCGCGAACTTTGTTACGGCAATGGCATCAGAAAGAGGTGGGATATTGAAAATGCCATTTCGAGCATTGATGGAAATTGGAATAGAGATATCATTGCAAGACTTAGCTTCAATGAAGCCCAAGCTAGCTGCGACGACAGCAACAGAGAGTTTAAGCATGATTATAATTAAAAATTAACTCAGTGAATAAACAGTCATCAAGGGAAAAGGAGAAGAAGTCTGAAACCGTTAGAGGCCGTCGGTAGTAATATAGGCACCGCATATCAAATGTGTTGTACTAATTGCGATCTGCGGGCCGAGAAATTGAACACAAGTAGTACCACCATGATGTTCACCACTCGGTGCGACTAACCAGTTTGCAGGTGAACGATCACCAAATTTTGACAGCTAACTGCCTTCACTAGAGAGACCGTTAGGCATTGGTGTGCCCTTGATGCTAGAAAAGTCTTGGGACATCGTCATGAATGATTTGGAATATAGTATAATCCTAGCTGAGATAGAATGTCACACGAGATGATAACCTGGCGGCTCTGAATGAAGATCAATAGCTTTACAAATCAATTCCCTTTTGCTCCTACTGAAGAAAGGGGTTCAAATATATTCATGCCGCTCCTCACTTATTCTTGTGTTGATCTTCAGTAGTTGACACCATCAAAACAATCGGAGTATAAAATGTTGTGCAGGGCAGGGACCTTCGCCCCATATTTCTTGGCTTTTATCATAACGACAAACAAGATTTTTCGACTTCCCGTAAGTAAACTATTTGGTAAGATTGAATGTTCTCGAAACTAAGTAAACAGAAGTAACCTTTATCGACATAGAGGTTCTCTTTAAACGTTCACAAATCCCATATCAAAACGTATCAGAGTTGGCAAAAACGTGATGTTACATGATGTCCATTGCTTAGAGTAAGTATTTGGACCTCATGTCTGAATCATCGAACCGGATCGATAAATCAAAAGCTCATCCTCAGCACCTGTGGCAACAAAGCAACACAATGGGATCCTGCCAATTAAGCGTTGGCTCCCAAGTCCCCTAAAGATACATATTATTACAATGAAGTTTGAGATCGACATTCTATACCCCACCCCTTGAGATGACGAAATCCACATGCTTTGTGGTTCTTTTCTTATTGACATGAATGCCTTGATCAGACAGTGGAACGCTTTGCTGCTTGTCTTTCTCTATGGCGAGAGATCCATCGAGATATTTGAAGACCGATAAGTCCTGATGCGACGATGAAGACTATGGCGAAGACAACAATGACACCAGGCTCACGAGCTGCCCAGTTCTGTCTCTTAACAAGTTGTTGTGTAGCTTCGCGGATTTCGATAGTTGCCATTTTGATTGGTTACTGTAAGGGAACAATTAGTCAAGAGCTCGGGATCCAATAATTGAAAGTTCAAATCAAATCTTCACTTTGAAGAGACGTTTCAAGCGAAATGTCAACACTGTCAATTTGATTCCCAAATGGATATTTGGTATCCTGGTGTATTTGGATGGAATACGTAGACTCGGTGTAGTGGCCGTCGTGCCGCAAGCGCTCCCATCAGATGGAAGGAGAAAGGTACTACTCACTGATTCAATGCTTTGTGGTTGGAATTGATGGAGTGCTGTATAAGGATTAGTAGAAACATTCAAGCTTCAGGGGTATCTGCGAGAGTTTCACTCACGTTGAAGAATGGTCTCGTAGATACTGATCAATTTTCGTGAGTAAAGAGTAACTGTTTGGTCAAATGATCTGCTTCAAGTCGTCAATTCATGGTATATCTTTGAAGGCGAAGAGCTTCTGAAGGGAGATGCTCCAGAGACCAGTATTCGTGTGTGCAGATAGACAGAGGCATTGTAAAGATGCAGAGATTATGGCAGTTCGATTGTGGAACTTAAGATTGAATGTCTAGATGATTCGCGACAACACAGTTGACGGGTCTATCTTCCACACAGGGAAAAGACGGGGGAGGAATGAGGAAATGGAGGTATCTGGACAAGAATCTAAGACATACCTGACAGATGTTGTAAAACCCTGGAGTATACGTAATACTAATCTGTTGCACGATGAAGATTATGGGATGTCTTTTCTTGAAGACAAGAGAAGATTGAGATAAGTAAGGAATTTTCGTGGTTTGTGTAATCATCGGAAGAATGATGAATTGAATTGAACGTGATAGATGAGGAAGTTGCAAACGACTTCAATTCTCCTTCTGCAGTCACTCAAGTCGCTGCTTTCAGAGCAGAAATATCAGGAACACCAAAATTTCAAGGATTGAATGATACTATAGATTCTATCTTATTATCTTCACATCTATGAGCCGATTGATATACATGTTACTTTGCAGTTTCCAAAGACCCAATTGATACTTAATTTTGATGTACACCATAGATACAACAACCATCACTCGTAGGGAGGTAGCTTTGTATATAGTTTTCGTTTTTTGTGCATAGATATCTTAGATCTGATATCTTAGATCTCCATATCATCCATCTACTGTATGAACTACCAGATCTGCCATCATATATACAATTTCTCGAATTTTCAGACATGTCGATTCGCCATCAAAAGATGCCCAGTAGATATCAAAGATCACGTTATGAATATCACGAGATCTATAAACATGTGACGATACAATCATGTGACCTCACATTCCCTCGGCACTTGAGTCCCTAGGGTTCATATTCCTTGTGATCATCACACACCACCAGGGATATTTTTGGATCTGTTATCTTGCCTTGTCATCAATCTCGATCTTATCATCAAACCCACCCTTCTTTCAATCGATGGAGAATTCCATTCTCGTACACTTGCAATTTAAATGTAGCACTGGTGTGGTGGAGTGAGTGAGTGAGTGAGTGAATGAATGAAAGAATGAATGAATGCATTCTCATCTCTTCTCTTGGCGATTTCGAAACTTCTCAACTCCATAAATTCTGTTCCAACATATCGAATGAAGTCTGAACGACGAGAAGCTCAAACATTGGGCTTGTGAGAGAAGAGAGGAACTCTGCTTCGGAATTATGGAGATGATGGTTTTGTGATTGCGGAAAGATAAGGGATTTACTTCATGTTGCGACACCTTGGTGGACTTTGGAAATTGGAAGAGAAAAAAGAAGAAGCAAAAGTGGATTCGCGATATCTCTTGGAGGCAACTTTAAGAACAAACGTTGATGGTTGATGCCAATGCCAATGTTCATGCTAATGCTAATGCTAATGCTAATGCTGTATGAAATTTCATGATGGGCTTTTGATTCATCATCATGGTTAAAGTTTCTATATTGATATTACCTCCAGTCTCAAGCCAACGGCAAAGTTCACATTCACGCGTTAACCGACATGCACCTCTCTCAACCTCGAGCTGAGTCAGCTGACAACAATATGTGAGTCCCAAAAGGTAAGGTGCCTCGATAATACCTACCTCGAGGTCCTAGTACCTGCCACATAGATGCCATGACTCTGCACTGTACATCGTTATCAGATTTCGCAAACATTTATCCACGTTGTACGATATTACCAGAAGGTTTTATACCATCGGCACGTGTCAAAGCACATTGATTCTTGTCGTTTGAAGAAAAGAAAAGGCATCACCAAATCAACGAATCAACAAATCCAAGAGGCGGGAAAGGGAAGTCGCGTATGTCTCCAGGATGATGGATCTCAAGACTCAAGAGCCCGAAATATCATGTAGCCAAGAAGTTATCACTAGGTAATCCGTATACAAGATTTACGAGCCATTTTCCTTGTATTTGAAAGCTATTCGGAATTTGGATGAAGACAATTATCTATCAGATAGGTAGGTAGCTCGAGGGTAGGTACTAGGTATGGAGGTAGAAAGATCGATCTCTCTCTCTCTCAATCGGCATCACAATCTCACTTGGACATGATTTGATACCAGCACAGTAACCCCATTCCACATCTGCATGTAAGATTTCGTACTCGTGTAGACTCTCGCAGCTCGCTCCATGATCATCATCCGTCATCAATCAATCATAATCATACCTCGGAAATGCTACAAACCCCGGACTACGAAAGCACAACATTGTCACCTACCTGCTCTACTTATCGGAATTACTAGGGATGCCAACATCACCACTTTTTTCTCCTTTGTAATCAATCATCATGGACTCTATGAGGCTATGACTTTATAACAAATCGCATCGAGTATAGTGTGACTGTACGTGAGGCGATTTGACCCAATCACAACGCAGACATCGGTGTCATGTTTAAATTACTGGAGAATCCTGAGCATCGGCACAATCGAAATAGTGGACAAAGGAATTTTCAAACGAGAGACTAGAGACCAAAGAAATCCTTAGGACTGGGTATATCACGGAATTTTGAGGGTCCGAATGCAGTGACATCTTACCAGGGTAAAAATTGCGTGCTGGGACGACGTAGAAGAGAAATTGCGTGAGCTAGGTACCTAGGGAGTGAGTAGGTAGTCTGGTAGTGAGTGAGGTGGGCAGTCTTTTCCCTACTGTATCTAGATTCTACTATCGACCAAGGTAAACTCTCTCGACGATATCAAAGGTCTCTATCGTAAAGTGATCTATCTATACTACATAGGAGACTAGGCACTGAGCTGTCTAGTAATCGACTACCGGTATCCGATTATACTCTCGATAAATAAGGAAACTAATCAATCGACTCAAATCGGAAGAAATCCTTTATCGTGCAAGCTAGATATACGATATCTTGTTAGAGATTACAATTGACCAGCAATCGATGATACCAATGAGATCAATACAAAAAACTTGGGACTTGGATCTGCCCTAAGAACAACAATGCCGACAACACCTAGATAAACTACTTGGTAGTAGTATACATGCCATCCAACTATTACTCACATAGGTACTACTAAGTTCTAACCAACTACTACTTACTACTACGACCTACTACGACCTACTACTACCATGTATGATGTATCATGTACGCAGTACCTACTTGAGAAAGTCTAATCGTCGGCTTTCCTTTTAGCTCCCTCCCTTCCCTGCCATCCGTAGTCCATTCATCTTCTGTTCTTCTTCTCTAGCTTCCATACCTAGCTAGAGCTCGTCTAGACAGGAACGGCAAGATCCTTCTCATATTTAAAAACTAATCTCAAGCCCCTCGGTCATCGATATAGATCGAAGAAATCGTATTCTTATCCATCGACTTTATCAAATACAGACAGACAGACTCGTATATACCGTACGAACTAGTCTACCTAGTACCTAGCATACCGATATCAAGACCAGACAATTCTAAGCCACGGCCCACCTCTAAAGTGCACCACTGCTCAGTGTTCAGTATTCAGTGCTCTCTCCCATCCTCACCTAAGCGGTCCCCCCTTGCAAATTGTTTATCAATAAAGGTATTCCACCCCTCTCCCCTCTTCTCCCCTTCACGGTCGTCCCACCCATCGGTTCTATCCACCACATCTGTTACACAAACCTTGTTCATCTCTTATTATATTCAAATCCCCCCCATGGCACCCTTCTACAATGCTTTCAGAATGATCCGTAAACGTCGATTCACTTTCCGTTCTATTTGAAGCACCGAAACTTCCCATTACGTGGAGCTATCGTCTGAGATATCCTAGTCACCACTCTTACCCACGCTCTAGCCCGTTAGACTCTTTCACGTCCACGATATCACTCTAGAATATAATCAAGGCCATCCGACGAATTTAGAAAGGTAACAAAGTTATTGAAGTCTCTATCCTTATTTGTTCTGGCTAACATTTTTAATTAAGACCTCTCATATCGGATATTAGCTTTATTTTATTTTTTTAAAGCCATATAAACCTTTATTCAAAGCAGCGGAGCTGTCCATCGTCTACATACCATCAATCGGCTCTGGAAGCTTAATACCATATCATCACGCACCATTTATTTAAATTTATACTTTTTGTTATCACATACCAACAATGGCTTACGATCATCCCGTTCAAAATAGCGAGGTGTACCTTCTCAATTCTGCACCTCATACTTGCCTCCCGGCTTCCGCTCCACCATCACCACCAACCCCAAGTACACCATGCGACGAACTTCCTCCTCCACTGGACGACCTGATGTCATTGACCCCCCTAGAAATAGAAGAGGGATGTCCACCCTTTAGTCAACGCTTATCAGGAGCAGTTCATGTTCTTAGTACCGAAGCTACATCACTATCATCATTAACCATGCTGTATGACACCGATCCAGTCGCAAGAGATGGATTCAATCATGCTGTGGATGCGATCAAAAGATCCATTGGCGAGAGAGGAAAGCTCGTCATTTGCGGTGTAGGAAAGAGTGGCTACATTGCCCAGAAACTCGTCGCGACAATGCGTAGTGTCGCTATCCAAGCAGTTTTTATCCACGCTACCGAAGCGGTACACGGAGATCTGGGAGCGATCACCAAATATGATACTATTCTCCTCGTATCTTTCTCGGGCAAAACCCCTGAATTACTCGAATTGCTTCCTCATCTCGATCCATCTCTCCCCATGATCATCCTGACCGGTCACACTCATCGATCCAATTGCGAAATCATTAGACGTCGACCAAAAACTATCTTACTGCCAGCACCCACTTTTGAACCAGAAACTATATCATTTGGCTGTGCTGCCCCCACCACATCTACCACGATGGCAATCGCCGTCGGGGATGCTCTCGCTCTAGTCATTGCCCGAGAAATCCACGGAAACATCTCCACCGTTTTCTCTAAATACCATCCCGGTGGCGCCATTGGCGCCGCCTTCAAACCGCCCCAAAAAGTATCCGACATTGCCATTTGTCTCGCCGACATGCCAGATCTAGGCAGTGGACCAAACACCGGAGCAGATCTTCTCATCAAAGCGTATGGCTCCGAATCCGGATGGGCGAGATGTGGCACCGATATTGTCGTGCCACCTCGCTCCATCAAACAGCTCGGAAAAGCCGATATGAATTTGGAAGCATCTTCTATCAATGGTTTGATGATCCCAAGTACTAAATGGATTACCATCCCAGCTGAAACTGAAGTCGCTGCTGCAAAGGAGATGTATATAAAGTCTGGCTCGGAAAAGAGCAGCGCATACTCTGAGAATACTATCCTGGCAATCATGGATGATCTCGAACTTGTAGGAGTTTTGCAAATCGAAGACCTGGTATAAATTGGTTTACCGTTTACAATTCAATTCTGGCGTTTTCATAGGGATGGTTGGATGGATGGATGGATGGATGGATGGATGGATGGATGGATGGATGGAGGTTCTACTGATTTTTTCGGAAGGGTTTTTGCAGAGTGAAGAAATCCTACATGTGCTTTTTTGGATTAGCGATAAGACATCCAATCCAAACTTGTATAGCGCTTCTCAAGTCGTTTGTTTGTTTGTTTGTTTGTTTGTTTGTTTGGGGTATTATAGATTTCCCTCCCCTTTCTTTGGGTTTTCATCTCTCATCACTGTAGTGATGAGGATGAGGGGTGCGTGGCTTGATTGATTGATTGATTGATTGATTGGCGGGATTTACGTGTTTATGGATTAGCAATGGACGGAGTGACGGAGGGATGCACGAATTATGACTAGGATACTAGGTAGCAGGAAAGGAAGGAAGGGAAGAAGGAAGAAAGTGTTGTATACATGGGTTTGGGGATTCCAAATCACTCATCTTTGTGTGAAAAAGGGAGGGGGAGGAGAAGGAAGGCCGGTAATTGGATAGTTACCTATCTACCTACCTACCTTGGCACAGCGCACAATGTTATACCTATCACCTCTCTGAACTACTGTCTTTTTTTTTTTCTCTTGACTGATTGATGGACTGATTGATTGAAGATTTAACTTGATGATTTGATTCGATGATTCGATACACTATATACTCATCTCTTCTCGTCTGTAAATCTATATACTAGGTACATATGCGTATATCTATATATACCCTCCCCATCCTCTCCCCATCCCCTCCCTACACCCCACCACCCCTAACATCAAAGCAATCCCCAAGACAAAGACAAAGATAAAGTTTAAGTTTAATCGATTCAATCGTACGAGATATCTTAATAGTATCGCACGTCTAGTATTTTCTTTATACATGGAATAGTTCCTATATCTTCTTTATTTCCTTTATCTTTTTCGATCTTCTTTCTCAATCTTTTCTCTCGCTTGTTTATACTACTTCTTCTGCTATTGACTACTTCTTCTGCTACTGACTGCTCCTTCTTCCCCTCAAAAAAAAAAAAAAAAAAAAATACTCCTAGTTACTAAGTAAGTAAGTAAGTAGTAAGGCTGATTTGATTTGATTGATAATAAATGAGTACATATATCTTTCTTCTTTCTTCTTTCTTCTTTCTTCTTTCTTTGCGTGTTTTTCTCGGGTTTTTCATGTGCTCTGCGCGCTTGTAAGTCGTCGTGCTCGTGCTTGTATTCGTGCTTGTAGATCCTGTTTTGGGTTTAATCCCAAGTCTGTCTTATTTTTGAACTTTCAAAGGTGAGGTATGTTTTTCTTTTTCTTTTCCTTTTTGTTTTTCTTTTCTTGCTTTTTTTCGGGGTTGGGAAAAAGTTGTGTTTGGGGTTTGGGGTTTGGGGTTTGGAGTTTGGAGATGGTATAATGTGAAGATTAGTTTCTTGGAACTGGTTTCGTAGTACTTGTGTGATGTGTGTCACTCTGGGAACGTAGTGGAATGAGTGTGTGTGTGAGAGAGGGGGAGAGGGAGAGGAAGAGGGAGGTTCTACGACTCATAATCATTCAAAACATACGTATTATATTATTGTACTATCTATCTATCAAGTCTTCCTACATAGCTGATATACAAATTCAAGATTGCTAGTATTCGGCATGATCTCTGAGCCTCATATCATGAGTACATCTTCTCCAATCTCAAAGAATCTCAAAGATGACGGCATAAATCCTCATCCCATCAACATTACAAGAACATATCTCATCTGGTAGAAACCATATAGCCATGTATTTTAATTTAAATGTCGTATATACATATATAGGTAGGTAGAGATAGCAAAAAATGATAAATTCTCGAAGTATCAAATAACGCAATTTTTAATAGATTCCAATGCATCCAATTGCTAGATGAAATTGAACCCCCAGATTAAAGCAATAAGGTAGTTTCAACCCAATACCAATCATCTAAACGCCGTGATCATTGGCAGCGTATACACATGCATGAGGTTCGGTACCAAACTTTCATTGGTCACTATCACATAAGCACCCCCCGAGTTAAAAATGTCATTGAAGAAAGATTCCAGGCACCATAAGTATTTACCACATTCTTCTAATGTCAAAGACTCAACTTTGACACATCTAGCTTCCTGAAGAAACATCGTCTAGGACCTATTAGAATCAGTACATCAGATTATTCGTCGTCTCCTCTTGTCTGTATAAGAAGCTATACTAAATTCGACAAAATTGTAGAAGAGATAACGTGGAGAAAAAACCACCAAACGGCATTCGAAATTGGAAGGATGTCTTTCGAAGATGATTCACTATGTCCAAAATGTCGACGGGTGGATTGGAGAGAGCTCGCTGAGCGACCGCTGGACCCAGAATTTAACCGTAAAAAACGTGATGAAGACGAGCAAGTTACATTCTTAGGACGATTCGTTCAGACCATGACAAAGAGTCACAACCAGCTGAAATCTGCAAAATGTAGAGTTTGCCTGATTCTTTCCATCATCAAAGATGAGGATAAGCCGAAGAAGTTGTACGTTGACCAACCCAACATCCGCAACCTTGAAGTCACGACCCTTGGAAGCGAAGTGCTGCTTGAACCCCCGATATGCAGTCAAGGCAGTCTTGAACTTTTACAAATCGGCAATTGGCACAGCTTCAACGATGAAACTGAGTCGGGTTATGGCTATAGGCAGGGTAAGCTATACATTGCATTGATTGCTCCCGGAAAAGACCCCGCACCACATAGAATCCCACCTTTCATTGGGGATTTTACTTGGATACGAAATGCCATCTCAGAGTGTTGCCAACAATATGAGAGCTGCCTCGGCGCAAATCCACTGTTTGTGCCTGAACTTCTCGTCATTGACTGTCTGGCTGCCTCTTCGACTCTTTCGCTCGTTCCACTACCCAAATCATGCAAGTACGTCGCCTTGTCTTACGTTTGGGGATGTGCACACACCACTATTACCAAGGTTCCAGCTGTGATCAAGGACGCTAATGAGGTTACCTTGAAGCTGGGTCTGAGGTTTATTTGGGTCGACAGATACGTAAGTTGCCGACTAAACTTTTGTGGCTCAAGAAACGCTAAAGTATCAATATAGTGCATTAGACAGGACGACCCAGAGAAACACCGACTAATTCTTTCCATGGATGAAATTTATGCTAAGGCTTATATAACCATCACTGCCGCTGCCGGAAAGACGGCTGCTGATGGGTTACCTGGGATAAGCACCATTCCTCGTTTAGCCCAAACGTAGACTCAAATAGGCGGGTGCACCCTACTAGAGCTCCCGTCAATACTTAACTCTACACGGTCGTCCACCTGGATACAGAGAGGTCGGACGTATCAAGAGGGTTTGTTATCGACACGGTGTCTTGTCTTCACTGACAGGGGAGTGCTATATCACTGTAGGGGTAAATATATTGAAGAATCCTTGCAGCAGCTTGTTCCCCGGATACAGCAGCATTCATGAAGGATTGGAACATTCTGCAGACACTGTTTGCAACCAAGAGGGCAGTGTTTGCGATTCAGTTTCGAATTGTCGAGTTTACTCGGCGACACCTATCCTACCCCCAAGATTCTCTCGATGCCTTCCTTGGTGTTTTTGCAGCGTATGAGCAACAGAGAGCAGCATGCCCTGAAGTATCGGTAGTGATAGACTCGGCTTCGCCCAGTGTTTGCTTGCCGAGTCACGCCTGGGGATTACCTTTCATAGATGGCGTCCCATTGCTACATTGGTATCATCCAGAACCACCCAAACGGCGAAGACCAGATTTTCCTACCTGGTCATGGTCTGGATGGGAGGGAGGTATCGAGTTTGAGGATCATTACCTCACCAATTCGTATGGATCCACCGACTTAACATATGCACCGATATTTGTCGAGATTCCAGACAAGTCGACTGATTTTTACGAACAAAAAACCAAGTGTCTGTATGTGACGGGGCCCATTAGCCAAACTCAAGCTCGTCGGGGCAAATCAACTACCGAGTTCTGGTGAGTTTCCAAACCTAGATTTCAGAGCTTGTCACAACCATGTCATGTTTGAGGAACAGGCTCCAGGGATATTCGCCGTAATTCGTTTGACGTTGGGTATTGAGCCTGAAGTTGGAGAACCAACATTTGGTCTTCTTTTCACAACCGAAATCGGCTCGGGGGAAGAGAAACGTTTCAGTATTCGCGGCATCATAGTTCTACGAAAAGGCGACAAAGGCTTCACAAGAATTGGGTGCATGAGGTTGGAAGACTTCTGGGTGCGCAAACACGTCAGCATCGATGGTGCCTCAATTGCTAAAGAAGTGATGCCTCCATTCAATGATAGGCGTTACTTTGGTCAAGAATTTACAAGGCAGCGTATCTGTCTCGAGTAAAGCGAAACACGAGATGTAGTTGACAACACGTCAAGTATTGATTTATGAAGCAGCTTGATCGAGATTCTACTCTTCCATTGACAAGGCGGGACAACTCATCCCACCTTAACCGCCGTTATGATTGGCGTCAGAAATCTTTCGCCTTCATCGTTTGTCGATTTCGTGCTAGATAAAATGATCAGTATTTCGGAAATAATATATAGTCAAATCTATCTTCTCCGGAGAATGCTCATCATAGGAGCAAGCTTTCCTGACGTTAGGTCCTCTTTGATACTCTTTGGAAAGATTAGCTGCAGATGCTCCTATTCGTGGTGGTGTATACAAATAGAAATATTTCTATATCCAACCGGAAACCGATAGGATAAAGCCCACATCAGCTGGATCATATTGTATAGCCTCATGCACAGGAAATCAAACACCTTGATATCCTAATGAGTGAGTACAACTTCCTGCTCAATTTCTCTTGCCTTGAACTGATAACGCCAACTGGTTGTCTTCAGCGTGCCCTTGAGAAATCCTTTGATTGAAGTAGATTGTATGTTCTCGGATACCTATAAGGGCATCCAGAAGATTGAGTGAGGGGTACTATTCTAGAAGCTGCGATTGCGGTTTCATAATACTGTAGTACGAAATGCACACAACTAACATCATGATTCTTGTCTCGTTGTTTCTGGCTATGTTGCACCGCCACAATTATATCCACAGAACTGGTTCCAAGGTTGATTAGTAACCGCCGTTAATGGCTATGTTTGTGGGAAGTGCGACTGATAAAAAAATTTGATAGGTGTATAATGAATAGCCACAGGAGGAGTAGCTTCTAATGACGTCATTTCGGAGCATTTGCCCCAGACAAGCTTGGGGTAAGGTCAAAATCGAGGAACTACTGCTACATATCGCACATGTCTTGGAAATTCGATACAGGTTTACAATATTGAGATCTTTCAGATTAAAATTCTACGATACCTACAATAATTTTCACATACGAGCATTCAGAGTGTTCGAGATACCTACCTCTAAAGAATACAATCATCACATCATATCACAATGTCTAATCCCACCGAACCACCACCACCCTACACCGAGAGTGCCACTCCCAACCACCCCCACAAAACCCGAAGTGGTATTCCTCCCCAAAGCCGTCGTTCCATGGAAGACGAAGCACGCTCTCTTCCTCCCGGCTGGATCCGTCAATACGACACAGAAAGCAACCATCAATTCTTCGTCGACACCCGACAAACCCCTCCCCGCTCCATCTGGCGACATCCCTACGACGACGACGAATATCTCTCTTCTCTCCCACCCAACGAACGCCAACGAATCGAAGGTCTACACTGGGTCCCCAGCGACGCCGATCTCGAAGCTGAAAGCACAGACGACGACTCTGCTCTTCCTGCACGTTCTCAGAACGCTCGTCCCAATGAGCAAAATCCCACTGGAATCCACAAACTAGGTCGGAAAATGAAAGATAAATTAACCAACTCCACGCATCCTGAGCGAGAAGCCCGTCGTAGAAAGAGAGAAGAAGAAGAAGCTGCCATGTATCGACGTCATCAAGCCATTCGGGATGCAATGCGCAAGGCGATTCAGACAGGCGAACCACAACTTCTGGGCAAAGATCGCCAGGGGAAGGATGTGTATATTGAACCCCCGAGAAATACTGGAGGGTATTATCCTGGGTCGGGAATGGCCGGTGCGGGAACTACCAGATTGGGTATGTATCCTGCGGGAGGTTATGGGTATAATCCGTTTATGCCTGGAGGAGGTGCGTTTGGACCGAGTCCGTATGCGATGGGGATGGGTGGGTATGGAAGACCGGGGATGCCGTACAATAGGGGGTATGCGAGGGGATATGGAGGGGGAGCGGGACTTCCGTTGGCGATGGGATTGGGTGGGGGGTTGATGTTGGGAGGATTGATGTGTTAGGTGGTTTGGTGATGGGGATGAATTATTGAGGACAGAAATGCAAGACAACTCTTGCGAGAATGAATTATGAGATTACGATGCTTTCGGATGGAATTCATGGATAACTATGGAATGAAAGGATGGGAAAGGAAAAACTATGAATAATTGCAGGACTTTTCTTTTCATGCTGGAAAATCAGCAATACCAGGTAGTGATAGAATACTCAATGCGACGAATTTTCCAAAACTCAACTTGCTTTCATCACTTGACGTGAGCGTTGTTTTTGTTCATGCTTACCGACCTGCAGATTTCATGATCCAGCGGACATAACAACATGGTCAGTGAAACAAAATTGTCTATTGGACTCATTCTTTCTAACAATACTCATCTGGTGTATATATGCAAATATCTTCTCTCCTCTTCTTATATTACCCTCTATTATCCCAGTTCATCTCATCTCGTCTTATGGGCATGTATATAATCATCCGATGTCTCCTCCCCATTATTCATCTCCACACAATTCCGCTTGCACTCTCCATCTCCTCCCCCTTGCCCAAACTTCCAATACCCAAACTCCAATCCCGTCATCTTCTCAAAATCCATCTATAACTTAGCCTTCTCCCCCACCGCCCCAATCTTCAATTTCTCCCCATACTTCTTCAACACATTCTCATTATGATATTTCCAAAACTGTTTCGAAGCATCTTTTCCCGCAACACGTTTGAGAATCTTCGCACCGCCGGGATGTTCTTCGAGGAAATCTGGGGAAAGGGTTAGTTTAGCCGTGGGTTAAGGGGAAAGGTAATCATGAGTGTAGGAAAAAGGGGGAATTTTCGGATAATTGGGATGAAAGGAGAAATAAAACATACTGGTAACATCATAGACATTCTCATCGATAATTAAATACATGCCATTTTCGGCATCTTTATGAGCGGCGACTTCCGAGGGAGAAAAGGTTTTGGACATCTTGCTGAATGGGGGCGGACGATGTGTATTTGTGTGTGTATTTGAATTGGGATGGGGATTGGAACTGGAATATTGTCTCTGATCTCGATTTCCGATTTGCGATTGATTCTCAGAATACCTTCTCGTTCTACTTCCACTTGAACTTTGTGAATCGGTGTATCCTCCTCGTGAATTCGGAGGTTGTGTTTGGATTTTCTGTTTCTGTTTCTGAGATTGTAATTGAGATAGCCGCACACGTTCTTGTTCGCGTTCCTGGTCTGCTAGTAATGTTTTTTGCTGGTGTTGATGTAATGCGATTAAGTAGATGTAGAGGGAAGATGTGGCGATGATAGCAGAGAGATTGGCAGTTCCGATGTTGGGGAGGGAGAAAGAAGAGGAGGGCATTTCCCCGGATTTTGGGGGAGGTCGTAATATTAGTATTGGTTCGATGGCTTTGGGAGGAATTGAACCGAGGTTAGAGGATAAGATATGGGGTCAGCGAGATGGAGTGTGCCGTGATTGGTTGGGAAGTCGGAACATTTGGAGATGGATTTGCCGATGTCTACGATACGAGCATTCATACGATATTTGTCTTTTGGAGTGATGAAGGGGTTGTTGATGAGTCGGTCTACTATGGTTTTGTTCGAGATGGCAACGTAAAGTATATCTTCATTCTTTACCAAATGTACCTATCTATCATGTAACAACTTTCTATCTTTTACAGCATCATTTTCACACTCACTATATAATATATCAATATCACAAGGTAATCTCCAGTCCACAGCAAGACGTGTGTGCATGAACACATCGTCATTATCTATAAATGCAAATGCATATAGCAATATCACCCAAACCCCTGCTATAAAAACATGACAATATATACGTACCAATCAATCAACAGTGACTCGCATTCAGGCAATATCCTTTGGTGCATATTGAGAATGACGCTCAAACTACTCCACCATAGCACCTGTTCCCGTGCGATTTTCTTTTCCTCAAAAGAGTACATATGTCCAGCCAACTTACCGGAAACCAGATTTTGAAATGTGGATGTGAGCATAATAAGGATGATGAGATATCTCGTATAGATCAGGTATACATTACATGCACTTACTACAGCACTTGCTACAGTATAGAAAAACAGTTTTGTTGGTTTGGAGTTTGAGCATATATTGATTTGATTTCTCTGGAATATCTTTCGAAGTTGGTGGAAGAAGATTTACCTATTCACTTATTACAAGGTAATCTTATTACCTTTGTATCCTGGCCTTCATTCACAAGATACGGTTCTCTTGGATTTCAAAAGGACTGCGATTTTTGTTGGACTACAACTTGCATTCAACACATACATTTCTTTTGATCAACGTCGATCATCCAGTACAAAATGTTTTCTATACCGTCAATACCATATAGAAAGGAACCCCTTCCTCCATACTGGGGCACGATCAACTCGCAAACAAAGTAAGTATATCTTCCTACTACCATTTTCTCTCGTTCACCATACTAATATCGAATAGTTTCTGCGAAGAGGTATAGAGATTCTCCATTTATGATGAAATAAATCATGTACCAGGCAACTGATGGAAATCAGGATCATATCATAACCACATATATCGCCGAGTTTATAAATACACTCACGAATATCACATACCGTATATTCTTCCCTCTTCTCGTCCCGTTTCTCGTATTCCGCCATCATATCTTCCCACGTGTTTAATCACGAGATTCAGTTTTACATCAACCGATCGAGTGCTGATACTTCAACGACACATAGTTTACTACGCCTACAAAGGTATCCGCGCGAATTCCAACCGTCAAGATGCCATCTTGCGGAATCTTCCCTATCTCGGACTCGCAGCAGTAGGCATCCTCAGTGCTCTGTTCCACGCAACTAATAAAGACTGGACACAATGGTGTATGTGTAACCTATCTCTCTTTTCCCTCGTCAAGGAAATTCAATCCTCCATATTCTTAATCTGATACCTTTCCATGTGGATATTCATACTAATAAATCTTAGTCGACGACACCTCCATGTTGATCGCCACATCTACTGTCGTCCATCGAGTTTTCACATATGACAAGTCTCTCAGATATACAGTTGTAACCGGAGTATCTTTATTTGTCTTCATGGTTGCATTTGTAGCCTGGCACTGTATTACTGACGAAACTCTAATGCATCCCGTTCTTTTTGGTAAGTTAAGACTTCTCTCGATTTCCGTTCCCTTTTCCCGTGTAATCCACAACCCTAAGATTAGGCAACAAGCAGCTGACGAATCCTAAATAGGTATCGAAATCGCGTTTGTAGGCATCAAGACGCGTAGTATCATCAATCTCCGCGTGGCAGATGTAGAGGTGCAGAAACAGGTGAAGAAACTCGTTACATATGGAGGTGGTATGTAGATTCTCATCATGCTCCCTTCTCACATCACATGATCTTCTTCCAGAATTCTAACAAACACATTCAGTAATCTTCGTATCTGGTTTCATTCTCTGGAACATAGATAATCAGTTTTGTGAATCTCTCACCGATACAAAACATTCGTTGGGAATGCCTTGGTCATTTGTACTGGAATTACATGGCTGGTGGCATATTTTGACAGGAATCGGTGCTTATATCTGTATGTCCATTTCCCTTCCATCTTTATTCTTCAAATCTCCCAAGCTAGCAAGTCTACCGAGCATTCTACCGAGCATTCAAACAACAAAATAAAGTATGCAACACACAATTCTAACAACAGAAAAAATAGTCATAGCACTAGTCGAATACCTCACCTCCGAAGAAGCAGGCCAAGAACTAGGCAAAAGCTTCGCATGGCCCGTAGGTTTAATTTTAGCAGGCCGCAAGAGCACAGCAAAAAATTGGGACATGGGAAATGCAAGATTCGAGGAGGAGAAAGAAAGAAATGCGGATGTCTTTTCGAATGGATTTGGAAATGGTCATTTGCATGCGAATGGAAAGATACATGCGCATGAGAGGAATAAGAGCGAGTAGATGATTCAATGATTCAATGATTCAATGATTAGATGAAAAGATGAGTAGAGGAAACATGGGGATTTTGTATGTATAGGCGCGCAATTGATAGGATAGGAGATTGGGCTTGTGGACGGGAACTCGCGAATTTGGGATCGTTGATGCGTGCGTGACAGGCGGACTATCTTTTTGTGGGGGAGAGCGTGGGAGAGAGAGATGCACAGGTGCATTTCAGCATGAATAGATAGGGTAGGGGGAAAGGGGTCATAGGAGATGCGAAATGCTATACTAGATATCGTAGACCCTAGGAGCATATCTCATATCTCATATCTCATATCTCACATCTAGAATCTAGGAAAGATACTGGTTATCGTGTCTTGTCTTGTAGCATTCATTTCATGTGCAGTTAAGAGAAACCACAAGATCAGATCACCATTCAAACACCAAACGCCCAACACCAAAATACTCACGCACGAATAATCCAACCAATCACCCACCCACCCATTCAATTACTTACTCCAAATTCACATTTCCCCCTCCCTCCCCCCCAAAAAAGAGAATGAGTGAAAATTTCCATATCCCATTTCGTGTTTCAATCTACATGTAAAAGAGCATACCATGCCATGCCTGTGTATAAAATCCGTGCTCTATTCTTCACTATTCTGTCCAATTTGAATCTTCCGCCTTTAATCTTAGTTCTCTTTATATTCTTATATTCAGCTTTATTTGTCTCTTGTTTGTCCTCTTTATTAGCTCTTCTTCATTTGCTGTTTTTAAGCGACTCTCCTTTAATAACTCTCCCTACTTCATTCAAAATACCTCCCCTTCCATCTGCCTCCACAACTATCCTTCTCAAATATACTTTTACCATCCATCCATCCCATATCCATCCAAAGAAAAGACCACCAGCCCTCAAAAATCCTCAAGAACCAGAAAGTAAAAGCAAATTAAAAGATCGCACACAAATCCAAACAAACACCAATGCACCAACCCCCCTACTCCACGCTACGCTCCAAGGCTCAAAAACAGCAATGAAAGAAATTCCATATTCTGTGTGTCAAATAACGAATGAACATATATCCACCCCCATCTCGTCTCTACTATATCGTCGGATCATACTCATCGAATATGTTTTATATTCTACCCAAGTTCATCCTCGAAATCTTCATCAACATGGATTTGAAAAACGGCCCCTTTAATATATCTCCCAACAGGTTGTGTGCTAGGATATTCTGATGGAGTATCACTATCATCACTATCCTCTCCTTCAATGACTTCTGGTTCTCGTGGAAGAAGATCAGCTGTTGTCATTTTGATTGTTGATTGTGAATCCTCCTTGGGAATGTCCTCAACCATGCCTCCCCATACATCATAAAGTTGCTGTTCCTCATCAGATGCATCATTGGCGAATGGTTCAAAATCGCTCAATGCGTTATTATCATAGCCTTCATCCATATTGATATCATTATAAGTCGCGTTACCAAATGCATCTTCCTGCGTTTGAAAACTCCGTGTACGGGAATTTGCATCAACATAAGGTGCATTACTATGAGGCGTAGCGTACGCGGATGGAGTGACACCTCTCTTACAGTCTACAACTTCTTGCGACGTAGTTATCCCCGGACTTGAGGGACCAATACTCCATGCATCACGTGGACGATTTGGTGATTTTGATGTACGGCGACGCTTTAGGCTGGAGGATTTTTGAAGGGGAGACGATTGTGGTTCACGATCGAAAGAGCCAATTCGGCGTTTTCCCATTTGAGCCGTGATGAGTGGGGCAAGTGCGGACATGGAAGCCGTACGAAGAGGTTTATATGGATAACGGTCTTGTTTGATAGGAGACGACCCTGGTACTCTGGAATGTGCAACTGAAGATGGAGTTGAAGACTCCATAGGTGTGTCAACAGCAGAATATTCGTCTGATGGAGAACTAGGCTCGATCTCAGCGTCCTCTGCCTCCTGGGATAATCGAATACTCAAAGACGTAGTGAATGATGCGTCATCCCCAGCTGGATCGAGGCGCTCATCCCACGCCCAGCATGTTTCGGCAGCATCAGCCTCTGGTGTATGGCTTTCCACAACATTTTCATCGTGAACTCGAGGTAGCAGACGTAACTTTTGCCAAGTCCATCTTGCCGAGCGATTGACATGATGTTGAAGATAGCTATCCGCTTGTGTGACATAGAGCCTCCGCATACTCTTTGTGCGCATTGCCACACTTGAAGAAAGAAATGGCACGGTCCACAATGCAGGAGTGACCATTTCTGAAGGATCTAGAAATCGTAGAACCGACGTTTTATGTAACTTCCTCAGTGGTATCCAAGCAGCGCGTAGTCCAAGATAGTTGTCCAAGGATTTAGGAATCCGAGGTGGCATATGTTTGGACGATGAGAAAACATCTTCAGATAACTTTTTTGGAAGATCTCCGAA